AACGTTTTTCTCTCTATGTAAAATTCTCTTTGTGTCAATGGACACAAAGTTATTATTTATGTCTCTCTACAATCATCATTTTATAGGAAAATGAAGAGAAGCCACATATAGAGACACTAATTTCATAATTAAAGAGACACAAATGGTTTTGGTATCTATTGAGAAATAACTTCCTCAAAACTAAACCGGTTCGGTATGCTATCAAATCATGGGTGCAAACCGGCTATAAACCAACACTCACTTAGGCTTTCAATGTTGAACCGTACAACTAAACATTAATCTCTATTTGAGTTTGGAGTTGGCAGAATTCATTGTTCTTCAAAGTATAGTGTACACAAATTCTTTGAACCAAGAAGTATGCTTAGTTTCTATTATAGTGATCATTTACTATATAAGGGCATATGCAACGCCAAAATAGTTGGTGTGATATTAGTAATTTAAAATTAAGAAATAATGGGAATAGTGCGTTTAGTTCTTGGGTTTAGTTCTTGCTCAAGACCTGTTCCTGGCATGTTCCTGGCCCTGTTCTTGGGTTTGGGTCTTTTTTTTTTTTTTATTCTAAGCACACCATTAAGATGATCTTCCGATAATTATGGTCTAATATGCTATTTTTTAGTTGTACTGTGCAATTACCTAATCTTTTTAACTTCTAAAGTGAATGTGCAATTTCTTAAAATATCAATTTATGTTGGGTTTTTAAGAAAAAAAACGAAAAAAAAAACTACTTTGTTTGTGACTGAAACTGAGAAACTGAAAGAATCTTTGTTAAATCATTAATCATTAATGTCTAATGACTCAAGACGTTTCGTTTCATCATCATCAAGCAGCAACAAAAAACCCAAAAACAGAGACCGTTGGATCTAAATCTCTCACTTTCTTCTTTTCTTCTTCTCTGTATCATCTCTCTCAAAGAAGAAATGTACGGAAAAACAATATGCACAATCGTCTTCTTCATCTTCCTCGTTGCTTCTTTCTCAATCTACATGGGAACAGTCGATCCAAGACCTTACTTCTATCTCCTCCAATCACAACCCAATGTAGCTTCTCCTTGTAGCTCCACCGGAAAACCTCTCCGTGTCTTCATGTACGATCTCCCACGAAAGTTTAATGTCGCGATGATGGATCCTCATAGCTCAGATGTTGAGCCTCTCACAGGGAAGAATTTACCTTCTTGGCCTCAGACTTCTGGGATTAAGAGACAACATAGCGTTGAGTATTGGCTTATGGCTTCTCTTCTTAATGGTGGTGATGATGATAATGAAGCAATTAGGGTTTTTGATCCGGATTTGGCGGATGCGTTTTATGTTCCTTTTTTTTCTTCGTTGAGTTTTAACACTCATGGGAAGAACATGACTGATCCAGATACTGAATTTGATCGGCAATTACAGGTAAAATTTTGATTTGATCGGAAATTTTTGAAATTCCGGTGATTTGGGATGATGGGTAATGCTAAATTCGTTGACTTTTTTTGCAAATTTTGAATCTTTCTGGGGATCGAACTATGAACTAAAAACCCTAATTTTGCAAATTCTTGTTGTGTCAGGTTGAGTTAATGGAGTTTCTTGAGGGTTCTGAGTATTGGAATCGATCAGGAGGTAAAGATCATGTGATTCCGATGACACATCCTAATGCTTTCAGATTTTTAAGGCAACAAGTGAATGCATCGATTCTCATTGTTGTGGACTTTGGGCGTTACGCTAAGGACATGGCACGTTTAAGTAAAGATGTGGTTTCTCCTTATGTTCATGTTGTTGAGTCTTTGAATGAGGAGGATGATGATGGTTTGACGGATCCGTTTGAGGCTCGTACTACGCTGCTTTACTTTCGTGGGAATACGGTTAGGAAAGACGAAGGTAAAATCCGTCTGAGGTTGGAGAAGTTATTAGCTGGTAACTCTGATGTTCACTTTGAGAAAAGTGTAGCAACTACACAAAACATCAAAGTGGTAAGCAATTATCCCTTTCATATTGAAGTGTTACACTAGGCAAGGATTCATACTGGTTAGATCCTGATAGAGAAAGTCCATGTATTTGAAATCTTAAGAAAATGTGGTAAACATTCTCAGTCCAGGGTTTCATCTAGCATGAGTATAGCTAGGATAGTGCTTCGTGTGTTGAGGCGTTTGAGTCTTTTGGGGACCTATTAGGCTTGGGAGAAACCATGAGTTCTCTTTAACAAACTAAGGTTTCTATCTTTGGTTCTTGTATCAGCTAGTTCGTGCTTTTCAGTTTGTAGTCTAATTTAGAGCAGGATAGAGGAAGATATCTAATGTTGGATAGTAATTGTTCTGCTTTTGTTTTGTTTTGTTACTAGTCTACAGAAGGGATGAGATCATCAAAATTCTGTCTGCATCCAGCTGGAGACACTCCATCTTCATGCCGCTTATTTGATGCCATTGTCAGTCACTGCATTCCGGTCATCATAAGCGACAAAATCGAACTGCCCTTTGAAGATGAAATAGACTACTCAGAATTCTCACTCTTTTTCTCAATAAAAGAGTCGCTTGAACCGGGCTACATCCTCAACAAACTCCGCCAGTTTCCCAAGGAGAAATGGCTGGAAATGTGGAAACGCCTGAAGAACGTATCTCATCATTTTGAGTTCCAGTACCCGCCAAAGAGAGAAGATGCAGTAAACATGTTGTGGAGACAGGTGAAACACAAAATCCCTAATGTCAAGCTCGCTGTACATAGAAACCGGAGGTTGAAAGTCCCTGATTGGTGGATTTGAAGAATGACATTTTTTTCTCAAGGTTAAGTCTTTTCATTCTTCTTCCGTCCAATACTGTAAATTAGTCGATTCTTTTGTTACCTTTGCGTGTCACGATCCATTTATAGGCATACATACTCTAAAACTTCCATTTTTTTAATAACCAGAGGTAGTCACATAGATTTGTATTGCATCTATATTTTCAGCTTCATCTGTTTTGATTCCTCTATAAGGTTCACTGATTTGGACACTTATATCTTGTAAGGTTTGAGGTGAGATTTCTATTGTTGTAAACTTGTAATGGAAACAAGAGAATCAAGCAGGGTATTCATTATGAAGCCAGGGTACTAGTTCGCTACACCACTAAATCTCAGTTCGAGCAACGTTTAATCTGTGTATTTCCAAGCATACCATCTTTGGAAACATGTTTCAGAGCAAGTCCAATGGTAGAGTCCTTAAAAAGACTCTTAAACATTTTTTAATTATAAATTATGATAATTTTAAAATTAAGAGTTTGTGTTGAGTCCTTAAATTTTTTTCTGTCCAATGGTAGAGTCCTTAAGTAGGTTTCTCTAAAAATAAAATATTATTTTTAAAATGAAAATTATATACATTTTTATTTGATAAAACAATAATTATTACAATTTCTTAAAATTTTAAACATACATGACATAAAAAAGATATTAAAAAAAATACAAATCAAAAATCGGAATAACCATTAGTCATTAGCTTGATTCGTGCCAAATCAAAAAATCAGCATCAGTAATTGAATATAACAGCAAATTTATGGAAGGACGAACTATTATGCAAATAGCATTACCTTGTTGTAATAACACAATGTTGAGTGATTGACATTGCTAAAGCATTTATCCAGTGTTTCAACAAGAACTGAAAATGCAAGAAACTACCTTAGATCATCATACAATGAAAGCTACCTTTTCAAAGGGTTTACCAGTAAGAATCTGCAAGCAGAGTAATAGGCAATGATTCATATTTAACATCAGTCGATGGCATGCTAAGCCATTATTACAGGACTCAAGCCGGTATTCCAAAAAAGAAAACAACTACGCCTAAATTTGATTAAAGAGAATCTCAGCTCTTGACCCAACCCAATAGCAATCCAAAAATATTCAATACCTAGATATCTTGTAAATACAGTACATCCTATACAGACCAACTGAACTGGCATTTGTGCCAAGCTTAAACGAAAGAGCCAAGACACTGCAAAAGCTCTACTATACAAGACTGATTCAAATTTCCAAATTCTCTCTTTCTATATTGTCAAGCCAATGGTTCAAGATATTCAAAACAAGTTACAAATATAGAACTGTCTCATTCCAATCTCAAGCTCTAATCAGAACCTAGAATCAAGCATAAATAACAAGAATTTCACTTGATCTAAAGATTCTGAGATCAGATGTCAATCAATTCCTCTTAACAGATGCATTTGGTTTATCGTCATTTTTCTGCTACATAATCCAAAATTTCCTCAACTTTTGCTATTTCTACACGGCTGGATCATAGAGAAATGATCTAAAATTCTGCTTAGCTAAACTAAATTATCATCTCAGATCAGTCAATATACGTATTGATAACTAGATATTTAGAAAATCAACAATATAAGTAAAGTAAGAAATTTTTGAATAAGCAAGGAAGTGAAACATACTTGAGACACGATAGAAAACGTCGGCGGCTGATTCTCCCTCCCAGAACCAATAGAAAAATTCCCAAAATCCTATTCCCTTCTTCGCGAATACCAATCACACGGCGATTCGAGAACGACCGTCCGATCTCCCGGAGAGTAGATCGAGTCCGATCATACGGCGAAACGTAGAAGTACACACGCCACTCCGGTGAAGAAGGATTTGATCCAATCAAAGTGTGGAGACGAGCTCTGGCTTCCTGCGCCTGAAGCAAACCGGAATCAGTTAACTCGATCTTATGATCCGGCATCGTTGTGTGTCGAGAATTCCTTCGATCTCATTACTTTGATGATGATAGAGACATATCTCATCTGTGGCCATTGGAGAAAACAAGGAGAGAGAGAGACGAGCAAAAGAAAGAGACACGAGAAAAAAATAAAATTGTTTTGTCAAAATTTTGAACCAATGAAACGGTGACACGTATGGATCCTTACCATCTCTAAAAACTCTGATTTAAGGTTCGTTCCTTAGCTTAATTAACAGTTTTGATTTATTTTTGGGCTTTTTTTTAAGGATTCCATACTTAAGAGTCCATCTAGAAACACCAATGGGGTTGCTCTCATCTCCTACTATTGGCAAAGGGTTCCAGATAAGTTTATCAGAACTTGCCTAAGTCTTTTCATGGGTTATGGACTTATAGTATATAGAGAAATGAGTTATGTGTTCGTTTGTTCTAAAGTTTAAACCCACTAAAGATATGACACCAAAATTTTGGAACCGACCATATTCTCTTTGAACCGGAGATCTAAAGAAGGTGGTAAGAGATAATAGGCTAAATGATACCAAAAAATGGTCCCAAAAGAGTGTATATGCGTGAATCATCATAATAAAGGGGCATATGCGTCATTTTGCTAGCTACTGGCACGATTTGTGTATAAATAAGTCGCAGTCGCCGAAGCTGACTGACTTTGCAAGAGAGAGTAACAAACAAGCACGTTCTCTCCGCCAAAACCAGCCGGAGAAAATATCTCATTTCAACGAAGATGCGAGTCGTCAGAATTTCATGCGTTGGGACACGTCATCTCTCACCTCCCTCCTCCGCCCGCGGTTGCGACGCCCATTCCGACGACGTATCTGCCTCCTCCGCCGGTACGTTCTCTCTCTCTTTCACCATGTTACTCTGTTTCAATAATTATAGATTTATTTCTTTTTCGATATTGTTGGACTTGGAATTAATTTTCTATAAATTGGTAACGCCGAATCAATCGGAACTGTAAATCACTAGAATTTTCCGAAGTTAATATTTGTTTTGCTTTCATTATTTTGTTCTCATAATGTGAGATTAGATCCTTCCAAAATGCAAAAGATTTTTTTGCTCGTTTTAAAGTATTTCTCATCCTACAAAATCTCCATTTTCTTTTCATTTTCCAATTTTAAAATTGTTACTACAAAACTGTGCTAAGTGATCCAAGTTTGTGTGTGTTGTCTCTTGATAAAAGGAAACTGTGTATAAATAATTTAACTCTCATTTTCATTTTTCAGTAATGTTACTGTAGTCTGTAGATTTTGTAGCAGAGTAACATGTTTGACCTTGAAACTCACTAACGTGTGTGATAGTGATGACTAAAGAAACTTATCTACAGTGAAATATTAGTAATGAGTAATGATGACTAAAGAAACCTATCTACAGTGGAATATTAGTATTTTATTATATGGTTTATTTTTTTGTAGATGTGATGTTTTGGGACAGCTCTTGGCACAATTATTAGGTGTCTGGGTTAGAAGGAGCATTGGTTTCATTTTGTGTCTGAATCATATAATCTAAAGAATTTGGTCCATTTGTGGGTCCCTTGAGTTGCGAAATAATTCGTATCGGTGGTTCATAGGATTGCACCGGCTTTAGTTTAATCGGGCCGGTCTGAGAGATCCGTGATTGATTCAATCGGTCTGCCACGTGACTCAAACCAACTTCAGTAGATCTATATGTTCGTAATTGTAGTAGGTAAATAAATTAGTAAATTACACTCTCTTTGATTTAATTGTAGAATTGAATTTATGTTTGGTCCCCAAATGTCTAGCTCAGCTTCTAGAGCAAATTTTGACAGTTGGAAATTGAATCTAAATAGATGTGGTACTCACTTCAAATAGTAGTCACATTGTCTTTATATGGCAATGGGGTCACATAGTTATACTTATATCTGTTATTGGGGTCACAGGAGTGTGGAGTGTCCAATCCAAGTTTAACCAATTTTAAACCGAACTAAAACCATTAAAATGTTGATCCGAAAATCGAAAACCCTATTAAACCGATCTGGATATTTTTCCATATCTGAGCATACTATGAACACAAAATGTAGAAAGAAACCGATTAAACCCTTTTCTTTGTTGAAAATCTTTAATATATTCTCAAAACACGAAGCCATACCAACCGGACCAAATGGTATAGTTTCTACTTGGTTTACATAAACCAAAAATATCTGAATCAAAAATTTCCATGCTTCTTGGGCCAAGCCCACGGGCAGGTGGCCCGCTTGACACCTCTATTCGAAACCAAACCAAACCAAAAAAAAAAAACGGATTGGGCAAATGAGAAATGTACTAGCAGCCAAGTTACATGCATGTCCTTGGTGCCTTCGTTTTCTTATGACTTGACCAAGTGTGTTTTGAAGCTTGATTCTTGAATTACAATGGAAGCTTCTATAGTTCTATAGTTATTACTTAGTATGAAATGCTTTCATGTAATTCTCTAGAAAAGCAGTTAATGGAACCTTTCTTAGGTACTTGGCATCGTGTTCTTGTAGGGATTTAAAGCCTCAAAATCTTTTTTGGCCTTAGAAAATGTGTTCTTGTGTGTTTATATAGGACTGATTAATGCGGATGCAGAGGATGCGAGCTGTAGTAGCACGCCTAGTTGGAGAATCAAGAAAAGCCTAACATGTGTGTGCTTTAACCGCAAGAGAGCTTATGAACGCATTTGCTCTAACTTGACACCATTGCAGGTTAACACATATATAAACAACAGCTAACCATCAGATTTTTTAATGAAAGCATTTATTTTTTTCCGAGTCTGATTGGGTTTTTTTTTTCATAGGAAGAAAGATTGAAGAGGTTGAGGAAGAGAATGAAGAATTACTTCGATGCATCGCGGCCCGACCATCAGGATGCATTGAGAGCACTGTGGTCAGCTACGTATCCTAGTGAAAAGCTTCAAGATTTGATCTCAGACCAGTGGAAAAATATGGGATGGCAAGGAAAAGATCCATCCACTGATTTCAGGTTAAGCCCTCTCTTTTTCTCTCGAGTAATCAAACATGTCAAATAGTGCTTAATTTGGTTTTCGTGCAACATTTGTTATCAGAGGAGCTGGATTCATATCACTGGAGAATCTTCTATTTTTTGCCAAGACATTCTCGGTAAACTTAAATCCCATAACTTTCTACTTTAATAGATTCATAACCTTTTTGATGTTTTTTCCGGTGGCATTGCTGTAGACTTCGTTTCAGCGTCTGTTAAAGAAACAAGGAGGCAAAAGAGCGGCTTGGGAATATCCATTCGCTGTAGCGGGCGTCAACATAACCTTCATGATCATGCAAATGCTAGACCTAGAAGCCTGTGAGTGTCCATAATATCTTGCATTAGTTTGTGAAGCAAGAAAACTTGTTTTAATACTTACTACATGTGCAGCAAAGCCTAGGAGTTTTATACGGTTGGTGTTCTTACAAATGTTATCAGGTAAAAATAAAATATGGAAACATTTGGTTATGATGATCATGGCTTTCTGGTTTACTTGAATTTTGACTAAGTTTTTGGAATTTCCAGAAAACGAATGGGCCTTTGATTTGCTTTACTGTGTGGCCTTTGTGGTAATGGACAAGCAATGGCTGGACAAGAACGCCACTTACATGGAATTCAACGTGAGTCGGTCAGTTTCCGCATAATATATAAAATATATTGCTTGTGATGGTGACGATGATGGATGGTATTTGGTGTAGGATGTGCTAAGATCTACAAGGGGGCAACTAGAGAAAGAGCTGATGATGGATGATGTTTTCAGAATTGAGGATATGCCTTCTTTTTCTCTTCTCTCTTAGTCTTACCAACTAATTCTTGTTGTCACTTTAGATGTAGACCATTTCACATAAAGAAACCCAAAGGGTCGATTTTTGTTTTTACAAATATCCGACCGGTAAGATGAGAGAACAAGTTTGCTATAAGGAATTGCGAGAAAATGGTAGTTTTGTCATTTAAAGAATTCAAAATTATCCTACAAAGGGAGAAGAGACGAACGACAGTAATTATGTTTTAAAAATTTGTCTTTTTCACAACTGATTTTGTCACATAGGACTTGAGATATAATTTACTACTAGATTCGAACCAAGTTTTATCAGAAGCATTCAATACTAAACATTGTTATGCTATATATACAAGAACATACATAAATAAGTGTTCGATTTGATAGATAGTAATTAAACAAAAGTGATAAAAAAAAAAAAACAATTGATTAAATCTATTTAACTAAAATAGAAGCATAAAACGTTACCTTGAATAATATATCGAGCGCTCTCATTATTCCATTCCACACAACAACATTTTTCTCGGCATTTCAACTTCTTTTGAATTCATTACATCCACGACTACCGCCAAAGATTTAAGCAGATGCACATAGTTAGCATTCAAAAGTCTAATGAATTTAAAATTATGTGCAGCAGCTTAAATCTTTGGCGGTGGTCGTAGATATAATGAATTCAAAAGAAGTTGAAATTCAATTGATTTTGTAACCAAAAAAAAAAAAAAAAAAAGGTCCAATGATCCCAATTAAAGTATGGGAAACATGAGAGCAAGAAAATTGGGATTATATACCATTCAATTAAACCTTACTATGGTCTTAGTAATTGAAATTTATTGGTCTACTCAATTACTAATATAATGTTTTCTGTTTTATACTATAATTTTTATTTTGTTACTCATATAACGTTTGTGTTGCAAATATACACATGTACTACTTTTATTTTATTGGGTCAAATAGATGTATTATTTATACCTCAATAATCTACTATTTTGATTTAGATAGATAATGAATTTCTTCAATCACACAACACAAAAACTAAATGTGTTTGAGAAGCTAGAAGAAAAGTATAAGGTATACCAAAAATACTTTTAGAGCTTTACTCTTTGTTTATCGGAACACTTGAAATTTCATCTTTAATATATAATATTTATTGACAGTTAAACCTATATATAATTTTTGGGTCAATTTTCAAATGAATGCATACAAGTGGGGTCTAATAAGTCCAACCGTTACAATTTTAATTATTCAGCCATTAAACACCAAATTATTATAAGTTTTAATATTATTTTGTAACATACAAAACACAGAGTTTCCTATAAGTAACGAGACACACATTCTTCTATCTATCATATTTCAAGTATTTCATTTCATAATTTTGTAATTTTCATAACAGATGTTTTGGAATTGACAACAATTGGTGATCTATTTGCAAGAAAAATCAAAACTCTAATTTGGAGGAGGAAACAGTGACATTCTTAATATAGCCTCTTCTGGATATTGATTGTGTCACAATATGTGCCTACTATGGGGAACCTCGATATGTGTGAATGGAGTCCTAACATTATGCTCATAGTTTTTCCTTGGTACATTCGGCCAATTATCCTGGTTCATGTTTCTAACTTTTTTTTTATGTCAACTTTGTAGGTTTGGAAGCTAATATAAAATATAGTACACTATGCATTCATAAGAGTTCCATATATATAATGGTAAGATAATATGGTATATATTTTACCCTTTTCTTACTTTTAGTTGGCTTGATTTTTCATATTTTAGTTTATATATATGAATACTATATTGTTAGAAATGATTATATATAATTTCAATTTCAGTATGTAAAAAATTTTCAAATTTTTATAACCGTCAATCATGCGTTATAGGATGCTTCCTACTATATATATAGGGACCATAACTTCGTCATCAAGGCACCAAAACTTTTGTTTAATAATTGGGTTAAAAGCTTGAAGAGAGTATCAAACATGAACTACAATATTTCTTATCATGCTCAGATACAAGTACAAGCAATTGCATTAATTATATAATTGCTTGTACTTGTATCTGAGCATGACAAGATATATTGTAGTTCATGTTTGATACTTTCTTCAAGCCTTTAACCCAATTATTAAACAAAAGTTTTGGTGCCTTGATGACGAAGTTATATTCCCTATCAAAAATATAGTGAATGGAGAAAATATCCAGAAGAGCTGCATACACTTCTATGCAATCAACATTAGAGGAAGCCACATGCAAGACCTTAAGATTGTTGTTATGAATCTTCAAGCAAGCACTACAAGAAAACAGCTCATTAACGACTACTTTATTAGTCGGCAATTAGTCGCTAAATGTAATTATACGACTAACTAACGACTATTAATTGTAGTCGGTAATCGAGAGTCGCTAAATACTGTAGTCGTTAAATAGTCGCCAAAAAGCGACTATTTAACGACTACAAATATGTAATCGTAACATAGTCGTTACGTAGTCGTAACTTTTAGCGACTAATAGACGACTTTGTTCCGATTAATATGCTTTAGGCCAGTGTCATTTCGTGTAGTCGTTAAAAATTAGTGACTAATAAGCGACTATGTTTACCGACTATGAAGCGATTGCGAATGTCATTAGTCGTTATTATTGGTGACTTATTGGCGACTACTGTGTAATTATGAAAAAAAAAGCCCATTTGTAAAACGTTTTGTTCCTAATTGTAATTCTAATAAACAAAACCAAAAACAAATCCAAATACTAAAAGAACAGTACATATATAATATAATACCAAATACCAAAAGAACAGTACTTATACAACAAGTCTGACTTCAACAAGTTCATACCAAACTTAAAACCAAACAAAACACATGTTCAAGTCTACAGAATCTGAAAAGTTAAACCAAGTTCTTGGGGGAAGAAACAGAAACCTATTCACCAGATGGTGATGGAGATGTAGCTTGATTATTTTGAGATTGAGAGGTTGAGAGAGGGGCTGTGGCAGTCTCTTGAGCTGAATGATTTGCGATCCAATTCAGGAACTGAGGATCAGTTTGGCGCAAATACTTCTCCACCATGGAGAAGTTGTCGAGCTTGTCCTTCTGCTGAGCTTCACGCGCAGCCTGCTCTTCTATCTTTTGTTGTGCTTCCTTCAATTGTTCTTGCAGGCTCCGAAAGGAAGAGGAGTCACCTGGATGCTTCCGCTTGCCATTGACAGTAGAATCCTTGAGGCTTCCTACTCCATAAGGATTACCTCTTGAATCCCTGTCAGTGGACTGCAAATTAAGATAAAACCAGAGATTAACACATGAAAAATTTAACTCCAAGACTATAAATGTGTATTGGGAAAAATAAAACGTCACCTGCAGAAATATTAGTATGCATTCTGGGAAAAATAAAACGTCACCTGCAGAAATATTAGTGTGCGTTCTTCAGCTGTGAGCTCCCGTGGCCGTGAAGCGCCATCTGAAACAGCAGAAATATCTGCCTCGAGCTCAGACAACCTCTCTTGCACATTCTTCTCGTATGTCCTTGCAATCTTCTCCGCCTTCAGATCAACAAAGGTACCATCAGGCCTCGTATGTGTCTTGATGAAAACTTCACTAAGACTAGTCTTCCCAATTCCTCTTCCTGCAATATAACCAAGTAAACAAGGGTTAATAAGAAGTGATAGGTCAGAATAAAAAGTGGCAAAGACAGAAAGTAGACTCACCAGTTCAGCTTCAACTTGCTGAAATGACTTAGGCCCTGAGAAGTGTTTGTGGGGACCGAGACCGTTACGGTCAGAATTACGGACCTTTGAGTAGGTGAGACTCTTTGCCTGTGCTTCCTCAGTGTCCCAGAAATCAGTCATTGTTTTCCAGAGGGTCGTTCCTATCCAAGAAGGTTTCTCACGACTAGTCCTTACACCACTAACCATGTCTTTCATCCGCTTTAAACAGATGAGCTCAAAAAAATATTGGACAGTCCCTGTTATCAAAGGATCCCAGGTGTGGGTTTTCTACAAAAAAAAAAGCTACTGTTATATTAGTGAACAGAGGACAGGCAAACATATTGAAGAACTATAGGACAGCAAACTTTACCGCAAACTCGAGGAAGTATCTCTCTTGTTTATCACGAGGCACACATGTCCAGCTGTAGAATGGACCAGCAAATTTGTTTGTAAAAACCTTGGTTATCTTCCGAACAAGTCTTGATCCCGTGTCTCGGGTAAACCTCGATACACAAGAAAAACAAACAGTGAGATGCAATTAATAAATCAACAAGCAGATAATACAAAGGCAAAAACAGAGAAACAATTACAATACGCATAAGAAAAGCACAAGTCATAATTCAGACTCTTAGTTCAACAAAACTCATAAGCCATCAGACCACAACTCTTACAACACAGTCACACCATTAGTTTACAAGTCAGCACAGTCACACCATTAGTCTACAAGTCAGCAGAGATACACATGAAAGAATAAACAGTCGGAGACACTTAATAAAGAAACAATTAAGTGATTCAAAGCAAAACAGAGACACCATTACACCATTACAATACGCATAAAACAAATTAAATAATTCATAGCAAAACAATTAAGTGATTCATATCAAAACAGAGACACCAATACAATAAGCATACAGAACAAACAATTTTAGGGTTTCAACTAATCCTCATCAAAATGCATAACCCATCAGAGACCAAAATGCATCACTTGTCATCTCATCACTTGTCATCACCAAAATACATAACTCATTACAACAAACAACACAAGCAAGAAGATCATACCATGAAGTTTTGTCTATGGGCTCGGGATTGAGGACGGTAATGTAATTTTCCCTGCTAGGCACCGCAAGTAGGTCGTTGAGAGCCTGTTGTGAGTCTTCCTGGAGTTCCGGCAACACCGGAGGAAACTCCACGAAGTTGTTGCCTTGAGACGATGGCTGACTGTGAGTCTGAGAGTTATGGGGCGGAGAAGGCGGAGCCTCCTGCTCAAGAATCGGAGCAGCTTGCTGAGAAGTGGCTGGAGGCTGTTGATTGTTCTGGAGTACTTCTTCTGAAGGCGTCCTTCCTACTTGAGGTTCACGTTGTGGAGTGAAAGAGTGCTGGAAAAGTTGTTGTGGCGGTGGATAGTTCCGGAGATGGGCTGTCCTCGACTGTACTGGCAAAACAGGAGGTTGTACTTCAGGCGTCTGCAGCTGAGGAGGATGTTGGACCGCCGGCGTGAAGTTGTACTGCGCCGGTAGAGTATTAGGTCGTCCACCAGGACTTCCGGTGGCTCTCTGAGCGATGTTTGGAGTGTTATGTCTCTTCCTTCCTCTTCATCTTCCTCTTCCAGCCATCGTTTCACAGAGAGACTGAGAGATCTTTGTTGGGAAATCGAAGAAAAGAGGGAGATTTGATATCTAGGGTTTGCGAGGAAGAGGAATCGACTAAAGAGCGAGAGATTGGAGCTTCTAGGGTTTGCGAGGAAGAGGAAATAGAAGAAACTGAGAGAGATTTAGAAATCTAGGGTTTGCGAGGAAGAGGATTCAGCTTTTGAGATCGATTGAAGCAGAAAGAGATCAAACCGAAGAAGAGATCAAAGAAGAAGGATACGAAGAAGAGGTTCAAGAACTCGAAATCGAAGAAGAACTTTGAAACAAATGAAATCGAAGAAGAGAAGATCGGCTAGGGTTTGAGATGAAGAAGATAGGGGTTTCGAGAAGTGAAGTGTTTAGGAACTCTAGAAATCTCGCAAACATAACCAGGGCCAATTGGGCCTAACAGAAGTTGTAGTCGCCAAAATAGTCGCTAAAATAGCGACTAATATACGACTAATATATATATTCAACTTATTAGTCGGTAAATAGTCGCCATATACCGACTACATTACTGACAACCGGTTTTGGTCGCTCTTTGGCGACTACGTTACGACTACTTTTCTGTAGTCGTGTAATAGTCGTAAAAAAGAAGCAAGATAGTCGCTAAAATTGGCGACTACATGAATAGTCGGCTGCTGTAGTCGGTAATCGCCTGTTTTCTTGTAGTGAAGCCATTTCGTTGTGCCACAGGATATTTAGCACCAACACCTTGAGAGAAGGGCACGATGCAATAAATGTGTTGAATACATCAACCTCAGCAAAGATTTCTCAAGTTTGAGAATCTTGAGATTATGATAGTCGTTGAAGGCATGCACGGTTTTCAAACCGTAGAGGTATAGGATTAGGAAGAGTATTGTGATCTTTTTTGGATGGGAGAATGTGTTTGGGGGCAATTGGAGCAGATTGAGTCCCTTACGATTAGTATGAAGGTTTGCAAGTGAGAGAGCTTTGGTATGTTTCTGAAGAGTAAGTAGTCGAATCCAAGTTTCGAGCTAGCTGCCTTTACACTGGTGTGCGTAATGATGGATTGTACAGCCCACCGGATGACCATTGTGATTGTTTATAACCTTTAAGAAAACAAGATTATAAGTTGTCAATAAAAGCTAATTCTTTTGGTATCTTATATCTTGGGTTTAAGTTTCACCAATAAAGATTTGTATGTGAAGCTATAGTTTATCAATTGTTAAATTCAATAAACTAATATATATCAATAATATCATGTAACTAACTATGCGAATAAAGCAAGAGATTAATTTATTAGATTTTCATTTAATTATTATAATAATGCATTCACAATCTATGCTCGCTTTCAAATATATTGATAAAAAAAAAAAAAAAAAAATTGCGCGCGAAATACCATTATTATTATCCTTTTTATTGCGTGAATTAAAGATTTTTTAAAAAAATATATAAGTATGTAACTACCACAGAGAGACAACATGTTTGAAATAAAACCTTTTTAGAGATATTTATAAGTATTATAAAAATGTACATATCACTTTCTACTTTGCGATCATATTGTTGTTAATCAGTGACACCAATTCAGTGGGAGATTTGTATCATATGTAACTATACGTTTTACCGCCGCATGAGTTTGGCTGTAAGTGTTATGGATGTAGCTCTAGGTTTTAAACGGTTAGTATTTTAAATTGTATGATTGGTTAAGTGCTTTAAATCAATTTTAGTATTCTACATATATTTTGTTTTCTGTTGATTAAAAGTTAGATATTTACTATATATGTAAATTAAAAAAAAATTAGATATATGGACATACATTAATAGTAATTTTTTTTTGTCTTATATGTAATTTTCTTATAAAAATAAAACATAACATACAGAAAAATGATTATAAATCCACTAAAATTATAAGAGAAAAAATATTAAACTTTTTGAGTCATACATTTAAGAAAATCTAAAAGCCCATGAAACACAAACTTTTTGCTGTAGAAAATTTTAGAAAAAAAAAAATTATTGGCTTTAAGATATTTTTAAACCAATAAATGTTCTAAACAAATAATAACAGTTATAGCTCAAACATATATTGAGGCTGTTATATATGGTTCTGGCAAGTCCAACTTCGAGTAGAACACTCTAGTGCTTCGGCAAATAGACTTGTTCATCAAAATTCAAGACCAAAACCAGCACGTCTCTCCTGCCTTAATAGTTGTACCGGTGAAAAGTCTTGACCCGTACGCGTATTTATAAGAAATGGAAAGTGTCTGATCTCTTCTAACACAAGATATCACAACATACTTATGATTCTCATATTTGTTGAACCAGTAAGAGCTAACTATTGTTGTCACTTTTTTTTGTCGACAATTATTTTTGTCACTTTAGATGTAAGAGTAAGACATTATGACATAAGAAAACCGGAAGAGGTCGATTTTTGTTTTTCTTACAAATATCCAACCAACAAGATGAGAGAACAAGTTTGTTATAAGCCATTGAGAAACTAGTATTTTTGTCATTTAAAGCATTCATAATTAGCCCAAAGATTTTATGTCACAAAGAAAAAAATAATTATATAAAGAGAGAAAACAAAAATATACACTACAAGAAATGAGGATATTAATAGCAGTACAGAATAGCGTTTTTGATGGTTCTGCTATAGTTGAGTTTCAAAAAAATATTCATAGCGTTTCCAAAAAAGCAAACGCTATAATAGGATGACCGCAAAAACATTTTGTAGTGACGCTTAATGTTTAGTTTTTCGATAGCATAGACGAAAATAAAAACGGTATCATAGGAGTAACCGGGAAAATGAAAATTATATTGCCTCCTAAAAATTTCTAAGTAATAACAAAGTAAATAAATAAAAGAGAAACAAAAAATAATTAGAAGAGAAATAGATCATTAGGTTTAATTAACTTTGGCCATCTGTTCTCTCTTTTTTTCTCTCTTCTTTCTTCTTCTTCTTCCCCGACTTAAATTTTTCGGCGATGGGAGACGAGAAGCCGGCGATTGTGATGGCCAATCGTGAAAGAGATAGAGAGCTCTTGATTCCCGTCGCTGATTCCGGCGACAAAGATGATGGTTCTTCTTCGAAGCCTTCTTCTTCTTCTGCGCATCAGTCCATCCACGAGGTCTAGTTTTTCCACCTTCCCAAACTTTATATATATCTTCTGGTCCTGATCTAGGCTTTAGTCGCCAACTTCTAGATTCTGAGAGCTCTCCCGAATCCCTGTGAAATCGGATTCGATATCACTTCCGAATCTTCTGGTACGCGACAAAATTAGGGTTTTAGATCGCAAAATTTCTCGTCACATGTCTCGGTTTCATACTCTTCTTTAGTCTTTAGCTTGATTTCTTATGTTTATGTCACTGTTTCGCATTTATCTACTCGATTTTGAACGAGTTAGGGCTACGTCGCGTTCCTGTACTCGATTTTGAACGATTTAAGGTTACGTCGGCTTCCCTTTGCTATGTTGATTCTGCGAAATTCTTGATTTGCTTTCATAGATTGATGTGTTGCGCTCGGATTGTTTGTTCACATTCGTTGTGTTCTTTCTCTCTTTGTGATTTATCGCCGTGGATGCGTAATTTCTTTTTATCGTTGTTCTTTTGGTAGTCTGATTAGTTTTATTTTGTGCTTAAGAACTGAATTCCGTTGTTGTTATTCCGTTGTAGATACTTTATTGCAGAATCTTGTTCAAGGTCGATTGAAAAGAGTCATTTCATAATGGCGAAGAAGGAAATTGCCTTGGAGCAAGGATGGTCTGTCATGGAGATTGGTGTTGCAAAGCTACAAAGGATTCTGGAAGAAAAGCCTGAGCCACCATTTGAGTCGGTTCAATATATGAATCTGTACAGGTATGTTTTCTAATAATGATGTTTCTTGTTTTTACTACAGTACAGTACGGATACTAACCACAATGAATTGTTATGCAATTCACAGGACTATCTACAATATGTGTGTCCAAGAACCTCCTAATGATTACTCACAACAACTTTATGATATGTATCGTGGAGTAATTGATGATTATAATAAGCAAACAGTGAGTACCATGTTTTCGTTTGGGCTTGATTCTTGAACATTTGTTTTTACAACTTGAGCAAACAGTCTAATGTTTTTCTATGTGATTAGGTGTTGCCGGCTATAAGGAACAAGGATGGTGAATATATGCTGAGAGTGCTTGTTAAGAGGTGGTGCAGGAAGTTTACATACATGTAAAAAGGAGGTAAACTCATCTTTATCTTGTTGCAGTATTTGATTCAGTATGGTTGTGTGATGAAACGGCATAATCTTTGTTTGGACGAAGCCTCAAAGGAACATTGCCCTTGTTGGAGCTCATTCGTCTTATGTGCAACGGTAACTATCTTCACCATTGTCTGAGCATTTAAGTTTATATTAGTTTCAATTTGTGTTATTCATTTTCTCAGTTTACTTGTGGTTATGGCTGCAGTTTTGTGGTTATGGCTGCAGTTTCGTCTTAGCTTCATATCCTAAACTTGGTGAGAATAAGGTTCAATTTCTTCTCTCTTTGCTTAGTCCATTATTAGACACATTCGTGTTGCTTTAGTTCAGTTTGGTTTTGTATGATTCTGAACTGCTAGTTTGATGATGGAGATTAGCAGCAAACAAATTACTTTTTCAGAACATAACTGATATCTAATTATTTTAATTGAACTAAATCAATGTTTCAGGCCAAGGCAACACCGAAATGCAATGTGACTATAGAGGACGATATCAGAGAGTGAGAGCACTTTAGAGAGTAACAAGGAGACTGTGAATGGTGATATCAATGGTGAGTTTCTGGAACACATTTGATAAGAGTAACAAGAAGACTCTAAAGAAGATTTTGGACTAGATGAGGTCTGTTAGATAGCTAGATAGCAGGTTAAGTTGAAACTTATGAGTTGTGTAACGTTTATTTAATTTGGTTTTGAACCTAATGTTGTCAAACAACAGTTATTGTTTAATTTAATTTTAGTTTTCTTCATTGATACAAAACAGATTCAGAATTACGTACAGGACAGAAACCAAAAACCAAAACAAATAAAAATGCTATTTTATTTCTGTAAATTGCATAATATAAATGCTATTTTATAAAATTGTATTGCATAATTATAAATGCTATTTTCGTTGAAAGAATAGCATATTAATGAACGCTATTTTAATTTAAAACATTACTTGTTAAAAATGCTATTTAATGTTATTTTATTGCATGCTAAATCTGCTATTAAAAGATTAAACATAAGAGCAAACAAACGCTGTAATTACATAAATAATAACAAAATATACACGCTATTATAAAATAAAGCATTGCATATAAAAACCGCTATTGTATATTGACAATATATAGCACTACTGAAAACCGCTATCATACACCATCGACCTATAATCATGGGCGAAGATATAGCGTTTTCTACTTCGCTATCATTCCGTTAAATAGCGTTTTTTGGACGCTAAGGATAATCATTTTTTGGACGCTAAGTGATAGTTTTGCCTTCCCATCTTATTTTATCAAACAAAAAAAAAAATTACATAAAGAGAAAAGAAAACAACATGAAATTTGTCTTTTTAACTACAAGTTTTGTCACATAGGACTAGAGATATTAGTTAGGACTAGATTCGAACCTTTAATTTCATCAGAAATATCCAATACTAAGCTCCTCGTTACCCTTTGGAAGTTCCATCAGTTTGGTAACGGCCGCTTCTATATAAAACTTTTCGGTTGCAGAAACGGAAGACGTCTTGATCATCATCTTCTTCATTACGGTCCCTTGCGTTATAAAACGCGAAGCTAATTCAAACTGTTTCTTATCCAAACCACTGAAATTAAACATCCACACAGCTTCCACTCGGAATACAGCATTGGGAAACAAGTTTTTCTCCCACTTTTTCTTCTGTGTTCCACGAATTGAAGATTCACCTTCTTCCGTATACACATAGTTATGCTATATATACAAGAACATACATAAACATGTTTTGGATTTGATACGTACTAAATAAACCGAAGTGATAAACGAGAAAAACATTAAATCTATCTAACTAAAATGAAGCATAAAATGTTCGTACCTTAAAGAATATATCGAGCCTTTTCATTATTCCATTCCATGCAACTAAAACTTGCTTGAACATTTCAAGTTCTTTCGTGTTCATTATATCCACGGCCACCGCCAAAGATTTAAGCCGCCAGAAATAGTTAGCATCTCTACCTACCAAGAAGTGATGCCCAAGATTTTCCATCTCCTTTTGATTCATATAAACAACGTAAACATGTCAAACAATATATAAATATCATTATCTATATATCTTTATAACAAAAATAATAATAATGCAATTGCTTGTACGTACCCGAGCATTATAGGAAATGTTGTAATTCAGGATTGGTACTCTCTCCGCGTCTATAGCCCCATAGTTTTTAGTAAAAAAAAGTCTTGAGGACTTGATGACGATGTTATATTCCCCATCAAAAATGTAGTCCATGGAGAAAATATCCAAAAGAGGTGCAGACACTTCAATGCTATGAACATAATAGGAGGCCACATGCAAGAGCTTTAGATTATTGTTATGAATCTTCAAGCAAGCCCTTGCATTGTACCACATGAGACGAAGCACTAGCACCTTGAGAGAGGGACACGATGCAATAACTGTGTTGAACACATTAACCTCAGCAAACATATTCTCAAGTTTGAGAATCTTGAGATTATGGCAGGTCTTGAAGGCATTTGCGGTTTTTAGTTCGTATCGATGTAGGAAGAGTGTTGTGAGCCTCGGATGAGAAAATGTGTTTGGGGACAATCGAAGGATATTGACACCCTTACCGCCGTAACTACAATGAATGTTTGAAAGTGCGAGAGCTCTGGTTTGTTTCTGAAGAGTAAGTAATTGAATCCAAGTTTCGAGCTCGCCGTCTTTACATTGGTGTGAGTAGTGTTGGATTATGCAGCTCAGCAGATCACCATTGTGATTCTTTATAACCTTTAAGGAAATATGATTAGTGATATTAGTAACAAATCTGCACACATACAATATAAGTTGTCAAGAAAAGCTAATTCTTTTATCTCTTGTGCTTAAGTCTCGCTGATAAAGATTTGTATGTGAAGCTATATTAATTGTTATATTCAATAACCTGAAAGATATTTATCAATTAAATCATGTAACTAAGTGAATAAAGCAAGAGATTTTTATTAGATTTTCATTAACTATTATAATAATACATTGACAATCTATATATGCTCACTTTCAAATATATTGATGAACAATAATTTAAATTTTGCCCGCGAATTACCGTTAGTATTTCGTTTTATTATTGCGGGAATTAAAGATAATAACTCATAAAAACACCTAACCACAAAGATGAACATGTTTGAAATAAGAACTCTTTTGTTGTTTGCCTCGAATTATCTAAGGTTTTCATATTAATAATTGATACATCCAAGTGTATTTGATTATAACATTTCTTCTTCAAATCAAAATGTAATGTAATCATCAATTCAATCATCAGTACAATGATCCAAAAGATTTCTAGATAGAGAAAACAGAGAAAAACCTGGGTTATCAATTTGGCAACACGATTAGAATGAGAGGGCAGAGGTTCCATGTTTCTTAAGAAAGCGTATCGCATATCGAAGAAGAGATAAGGCACTTGCTTCCATACACTCTTCCATCGTTTAGACAAGACACTTGTCCTGACGGCATCTTCTGTTATCATTTGTTTGAGGATCATGACCAACACATTGTCCGGTAGTTGACTAATCCGGTCGACCGGATCGATAAGGATCCGTCTACCTCTTGCATTCACCGATAGATATGCATTCATGGATTGGATAGATGATGAAATGGAGATATTTTGAGAGAGAAAGATTGATTTTGAGAGAAGAGAGACTGATTTTGACTTGTACACCTACAAAAGATGATGATAGGTTGGTTATATATATGCCATATGTTTATTTACGAAGAGATAAGGAGGATTATAGACACAGAAAATTTGTGGGTGGTGTAATGAAACCCTAATTAAAGTTTTTCTTCTTTTTTAAAAAAGTTTTTTTTTTATTGACTAATAAAAATGGAAAGAAATCCACAATTAATGCATAAATATGCTTTCTGGTCAAACTAAAGAAGAAATATCTGCAGAATATGGAAGAAAAAATCAACTTAGAAACTAACTTTTTAATTGCAAAATAACTGTTCTTTGATATAATTAGGCTCTAAACCCAAAAACAATATAATGTATGGGCTGGGCGGAAACATTTTTTTTTTTCTCTTATGCATTAAACAGAGAATCCTTTATAAAATAAAATAAATAAGAGATAATTGGGTGAGAGACTATGTATCTGGACAAAATTATTTTTTTGGTAATTCAATATAGAGTCTAAACAATGTAATATTTAGCCCAATTTTTTGTCTAAACTAACCCCACGCGTTTCATTTATAATAAATGAGACAAACACGTCAGATTATTTCTTGGATGTTCATTTGCTTCACATGTTCATCATTTTCTCAAGTCTCATCATCTTCCTCTAACACTATTGTTCTCTATTCTGATTTAACTAGTTCGTTGTGTATATTAGTCACTTTGCTTTGTTGTGTATACTATTTACTCTGATGCGTCGGAGAATTCGCCGTCTATACTATTCATTCTGTTGCGCCGGAGAATCTGGATATTTGTTATTTATCTATATTCTTTGATATCTCTCCAAGAGTTCAGTTAGATCTGCATTTTTGCGTTATAGATCTGTGTGGATGCCCAAATTTTTTTGGCGTGGATGTCCAAATTTTATTGTAGATCTATATTTAAATATTTACAAATATAAAAATATTAATAACTCTTTATATACATGGTTACATGTATATAAATACTAATAACACTCTATATATGTTTTTACATGTATATAAATACTACTAACACTCTACATACATTTTCGTTCTCTACATTTTTGCAATAAATGAAATGTCTTACTCCCCCGTTTTTGAATAGTTGTCGTTTTAACTATATGCACACAAATTAAGAAACTATTAATGTTGTTAGTTTTTCAATATAAAAATATCATTAATTATCTACCTAAACATAATTTAACCAATAGTAAATCAAGTTGCATAATAAAAATAAATATAAAAAATAAAATAAAAAGTAATAAATTTTGCATCAAAAACTGAAAAAACGACAACTAATTAAAAACAAAAAAATTTCTCTAAAACGACAACTATTCGAAAACGGAGGGAGTATTTATTATGTTAGTTCAACTGATGAACATTTATTAATTGTCAGTTGTTTTTTGTTTTCCTAAAAAGTCAAGACTGTTGCTTCCATGCATATCATTAAAAAAAAAGAGGTGGTTTTCTCGTAAATATTCTGAACTTCAAGACTATTTGTTAGCTTTATTTATCTACGTTAAAGACCACAACCCCATAATATTGATTACCTAATTTTCTATCTTATTTTTGTCTCGGCACAAAATTGACCCAATAAATATAATCATTAATCTCCAAACAAAATATCCATCCTCTTTGTATTTCCATTGAAACACCCTGGAACCTAGAATATACGGCTCACTCTTTCTTGTGCACTAAGCCTCCCTTTTAATTTCCCTACATTTGTAGCTGTTGGGCTTGATTAGTAATTGGCCCAGATGCTATCACTAAGAAACAGATTTTCTGATTTGGGCCATTAGAGAATTGAGTGAGGCCCAAAACTTCACACATAATAACTCTCTCTTTATGTGATTTCCTGGCATGTTGGTGTAGACTTCGTTTGAGCCTCTGTTGAAGAAAACATGGACAGAGGCAAAAGAACGGCTTGGGTTTAGCCATTTGCTGTTACTGGTTCAACATCACATTTATGATCATCCAAATGCTCGACCTAGAAGCTTGTGAGTGTCCTCACTCACTCATTCACTTTCCATAATGTACGTCTTCCCTTAGTTTGTGAAGCAAAAACTGGTTTAACATTCTTAGTTTCTTACTAAAAATGTGCAGGAAATGCTAGCTAGGAGTTTCTGCGGTTGGTGTTGGAAATCAGAAGCGGGTACGCGGAAGCAAAGCATTTGGAAACTCACGTGGAAACTATTTTTATAAAAATTCTATAAAGGCAGGGCGCATTGAAAGTGTATATATTATATGTATAAATATATAATTAAACATTAAGAAATATATCATATTAAAAATTATAATTAACCATACAAATCTAATACATAAATGGGTAAATTGCAGGGCAGGGCAGAAGACCAACTTTTATTTTCATGGTTTGGCAAAGTGAGAACTGGTTCTCATGTTTTGACAATTTAGCCAAATTCTGTGTACTATTCCGTGCCAGCGTAACGACGTACTATTCCGTGTACGGTTCAATTATGCGGTTCAGTTAGGTACACTGTTCCGGTTAGGCTAAGATAATTTTTTTATTTAATGTTTTGTGCGGCTGTACAGTGAAAAGGGAGAGTAATAACATTAAAAAATAAAGAGACATCAGTATTTAATGCCCAAAAAGTTGAGACATGACTCTTGTCATAATTAATGCAAAACTCATCATTACTTGTTGTAATATTAGTTTATACGTTTGAAAAATTGTAAGAGATAAGCATAAACCATCAAACAAACAAATTAGTCTCAACGAATTTGATGCTGGAGAAGTTTTGATCTTGTTGATTTACAAAGTTTGGAGCCAAGACAAGCATTGATCGTGTAAGTAATCAAGTTGGTTAAGAAGTTTTTTGTTATAACACAGTAGGATCTTGATTGTGTTCGAAATCAACATTGTTTTTTATATAAAAACCCAGAAATTTTTATTTCCAATTTTGTTTGTTGAAAATGCTAAATGAGGATATATATGTTTAAAAGTGTGTACTTGGAAATTCTTTTTGGTTTTTGTAGATATAATCATGTTTTGAGTTATATTTAATGGGGTTCTGCTGAATTTATGATGCATGTGGGTAATGGATATTCCCGTATTTACTACGGTGGGTGAGTGGAGATGCAAAAAAGAAGAATAGAAATTTGAACCAGAGGAAGGCATCTTTGGTCGTTGTGTACGTGTTAAGGAAAACATGACGTACACGGAATTTGTACGTACATTATGCGAGGTTTTTAGTGTGAAGTGTTTTTAAGAACAGAAAAGTCATACAACAAACAATGTCTTATCTTGCAATCAAACAATGCTTTTGCTACAAGCAACCTAGGTCATGTCCTACAAAATTGGAGATGGTTTGCGTTGATGATACTTGTCCATGGCATTTGACAGCTCAAGTTGTCAAGAATTCAGAATGTTTCACAATCACATCGTATGAATGGTAATTGTGTGCAATTTAGTATTGGAAGATCTGTTTTACCTAAATCAGAGTACGATTGTTGAATTAACCAATGTTGCAATTTAAGAATTTTTAAATATTACACGTACGTTGCCTCAACAATGGTACATACTGTGAAAGACATACACGTCCATATACTCAAAGGCATCATTCTAATTTTGTTCTCATCTTTAACCTGGTTTCTTCTACAACAACTTTAATTTTATGGCCATTGTTCAAAATTTTCTTATAATCTTTTGTTTTTTTACATTTAATTTATTTATTGATTTTGTAAATCTAGTTTATATTAGCGTATTTTGAAGTCGAAAAACTAAAATACAAATTCTATAACTATTACGTACATCGTCTCCACAATAGTACATAATCTAACAGAAGTACATATCCATTTTATAATCAATACTGTGTATACCGTAAACTACATACACGTAAATAGAAAAAACTCAAATAAGAACATATTTCTACCAAAAATATCTTACCAATTTCATACAAGTTTTCTACGAACTCAATTAAAAAAATATTAATAATTTGTTTTCAATAAATAAGTGAAACCAACTATGATCAACACACAAATGGACTCTAATGAGACTCACAAAACTCCAGCTCTGTTACGCAATTCACATAATTATATGTCAAATACGAGAAGCAGTAGAAATAAACCTCACAACTAAAGAAAAATATTGAGGAATAGTATGTTTTAACGTGACACAGAGCCGTGTGTGGTTTGAAAATCTTAAACACTTGTCAGTAGATGATTCGCTCTTCCATTTTATAAATATTTATTATTTTTATACTTTTAGTTAAAATTCTTTTTTTTCTATCGTTTAAGACCCATTTTCATATTTTTATTTCTATTTTAAATAATATTTTATTTATTATCATCGAAGACTATTCACGATTAGCAATATCATATACACATATGTGCGTAACGGTAATAATATATACGTACACGGTAGTAATGTGTACGTACACGGTAGTAATGTGTTCGTGTAGTAATGTGTGTATATATGTACGTAAATATCTAAATAAATTGTATATTTACGTTTCAAATATTTTTTGACCATAAAAACAAAACATTCAAATCATGTATCAACAACACATGAAAAAAATACAGTCATACAAATAACTGACATAATAACTTAATTTTGATTTCAAAAAATTAAATTAATATTGTACTATGAACGTTCCAATAAATATTTTTGTGTACGTACATAGTATAAGACTTATGTGATTTAGGCATTTTTAGGATGTAACTGTTTGGAGAGGTCGTACACGTGTACGTGTATCTCAATATTATCGTGTACGTCTACTGGTTTAGTTTAAAATCTTATTAATTCTCAACAAATAATATCATATAACATAACACTTACTAAAAATTTTCAAAATAACAATTAAATAGAAATAACAACATCAAAACAAAAAAAATATCATATATATCGTACTAAATACATAATATTTGGCTAACTCGCCGTATGCACCATCGTATATACCAAACATTACAAAAATTCCTAAAAGGACCATAATTCTCTTCAACAGAACCACATATAATTTTATTGTAATATACCAAGTACTTGATCCTCTTGTGTTACCCAATAACTCATCAAAAATTCCTAAAA